GTTTGAACCTGTTAATGGATGAATTAGCCATAGCTCAGTGTTCATCTTTTGTTAAGCTTCATGAGTGGATCCCTGCCATGTATTTTGTTGTCGTGTTTGAGTGATGTAGCATATTTATCTTGATGCATTTAGATGGACACTCGCTGTTTATCGCAGACCGGTGCCATATTTGTTTTGCTTGCCATTTCCAAACCGTGCATCCGATTCCGGTGATCTTTATATCGATTTCAACCGAAATCAACTCCTCTTTCCAGTGGCACTCTTGTATTTTCAAGTTGAGTCCAGGTTCAATCATTCTTTTCCAAATCATGCATCTGCATCGCATACTGCATCCCTCATGCCTTGTTTATGTGTTGGTTGTTTACTATGTTGTGTGATTCTTTCCGGTGTTGCTTCTTTGGGTTGGTTCCGATTACGTGGCGTTTGTGAGGACCCGTTCGATTATGTCCGTTTGTCTTCTTCATGGACTCGTTCTTCTTCCTTGCGGGATTTCATGCAAGATGACCATACCCTCGAAATCACTTCTATCTTTGCTTGCTAGTTGCTCGCTCTTTTGCTATGCCTATGCTGTGATACCTACCACTTGCTTATCATGCCTCCCATATTGTTGACCTGGACTCCGCCGAGAAGAGACCATCACGGTTACACACGCGGTTGATGTATTTTAATTAAGATCAACTTCAGGTTTTCTACAACCGGGCATTAACAAATTCCCATGTGCCCATAACCGCGGGCACGGCTTTCGAAAGTTCAAAACCCTGCAGGGGTGTCCTAACTTAGCCCATCACAAGCTCTCACGGTCAACGAAGGATATTCCTTCTCCCAGGACGGCCCGATCAGACTCGGAATCTCGGTTACAAGATTCGACAATGGTAAAACAAGACCAGCAAAGCCACCCGAATGTGCTGACAAATCCCGATAGAAGCTGCACATATCTCGTTCTTAGGGCACACCGAATTGTCCAAGATTCCGGTAGGCCAACCCAGAGTTGCCCCTGGTGGCCACCGGCTGCTGACAGGTTGGACCAACACTCAGAGGAGCACTGGCCCGGGGGTTTAAAATAAAGATGACCCTTGAGTCCGCGAAACCCAAGGGAAAAAGGCTAGGTGGCAAATGGTAAAACCAAGGTTGGGCCTTGCTGGAGGAGTTTTATTCAAGGCGAACTGCCAAGGGGTTCCCATTATAACCCGACCGCGTAAGGAACGCAAAATCAAGGAACATAACACCGGTATGACGGAAACTAGGGTGGCAAGAGTGGAACAAAACACCAGGCATAAGGCCGAGCCTTCCACCCTTTACCAAGTATATAGATGCATTAAGGTAAACAAGTTGTAATAATGATATCCCAACAATAAACATGTTCCAATAAGGAACAAACTCCAAACTTCACCTGCAACTAGCAACGCTATAAGAGGGGCTGAGCAAAGCGGTAACATAGCCAAACAACGGTTTGCTAGGACAAGGTGGGTTAGAGGCTTGACATGGCAATATGGGAGGCATGATAAAGCATGTGGTAGGTATCGCGGCATAGGCATAGCAATAGAGCGAGCAACTATCAAGCAAAGATAGAAGTGATTTCGAGGGTATGGTCATCTTGCCTGCAAAGTTCTCCGAGTTGACGTAAGCTTGATCCTCGTACGCGTACTCAACGGGTTCTTCGATCACGTAATCGTCTTCCTGCTCTACCCAAAGCAAGAACACAAGCAATGGGAACCACAATCAACCACGGTGCAATGCGCAAGCAACATGATACAAAACATGACATGATATGCGGGATGTAATATGCAATGCATATGCGTGCTTCGGAAGGGAAAGATTGAACCAGGCCTCAACTTGGAAAACCAAGAGCGCCGCTGGAAAGATGAGTTGATCTCAGTCGAAATCGATATAAAGATCATCGGAATCGGATGCACGGTTTACAAATGGCAAGCAAAACAATAATGGCACAAATCTGCGATTAACAGCACGATGCCATCTAAAATGCAACAAGAAACTAAGCTACTGCACTCTAACATAGCAACAAAGCACATGGCAGTGATCCACTCAAGATGCTTGACAAAATATGAACACTGAGCTACGGCTAAATCACACAATAGCAGGTTCAAACAAGCATGGCAAAAGTGCAAAAGATATCAGTTTGCAGACTTAGTGAAAATAACATGTCAGGATTTAATATCAGGAAGCAATGTTTAGAGCAAGATAACAACATGCTACAGGAACTCATCATGGCAAAGCAAGGCATGGCATGAAACTACTCAAAGCATATAACAAAAGTCCCTTACTGACCATAAGCCAAAAAGGATCAGAAGATATGATGGCACCCATGTAAACATAGCAAGTTTCGTTAACAGATTCAGACTTAGCAGGAAACTGGACATGGCAAAAACAGAGTTACGTAGGCATGTTTGCGAGCTCGATGCACTCACCACAAGGCATTGCATGACAAACTAAGCATACACCCAGCAAGAAGACATGTTCAAGAAGACATGTTCAAGAAGCTAAACATGGCAAGAACAATCTCATGCCATATATGGGTCAACTACAACAACCTTGGCAAAATTGATTAACACGTAAACAATTTGCCAGAAACATTTTATAGCAAAAGTAGAACAAGATTGAGTCATGCTAGGGGTCTCCATAATTGCAAACAAAGACATGAATGGATATAACATAACAATATCTCGAAATCATCCTTACTGAACATGCTCAAAAGAGGCATGGATCACTCTGTAGCAACATGAATACATGGCATAAAAATAATATCAGGGAAATGACTTAGAAGAATTCTAAGTCCCTGAAATCAGCAACATCACGAGAGCTACTTTGCATGCATGTGCTAGTCACCACATTGATCACAAAAATACATGGCATACACCCCTGTAAAGATGGCATGGCATAGCCCAAAACACATGTAGGGCTCAAGTTCATAGGAGGCACACAATAATCATGGCAAAAATGACAAATATTCATAATCTGTTAAGAAACGGAAACTAACATTTTATAGCACTCTTGCAACAGTATTTTAGGCATCAAGATGGACTCAAACAAGCATGATGCAATGGAATAAAATGAAGAGCACATCCAGATGAATAATTTGATATATCACACGCGTGAAACGGAGCTACGGATGATGAGATATGATGCGATGAACATAGCTAAAATAAATATGCAAGGAAAATGACTGGCAAAATCGACATAGGGTTTGCCCGATCCAGATCTGGCACGGTCCCCTATGTCCGCCGGAGTCTCGCCAAAGTTGGGCGTGGAGGAGGCCGAAGATGCAAAACGGGCAACGGGGAACATGCTCGGATGCATGAGACGAACACGTATGCAAAAGCGATGCACATGATGACATGATATGAGATGCATGACATGGACAAAATGCAAAACGAAAACAAAACCCAACCACGAGGGAATATCATAACTTAGTGCCAAAAATTGCAGGAGTTGGAATACAAATATGGCAAGTTACATACGGGGTGTTACAACACTCCACCACTACAAAAGGATCTCGTCCCGAGATCTACGATTGGAAAAACTCCGGATATTTGAAACAGAGGTGGTCCTCGCGTTCCCAGGTGGCTTCACGGTCGGAATGGTGTAACCACTTCACTTTCAGGAATTTGATAGACTTGTTGCGAGTCTTGCGCTCAGTTTCTTCAAGGATAGCAACGGGATGCTCATGATAAGACATGTCTTCTTGGAGATCAATCTCTTCGAAGTTGATAGTGCGGTCAGGAGTCTTGAAACACTTGCGAAGCTGAGACACGTGAAACACGTCATGCACATTTCCAAAGTTGGATGGAAGCTCAAGTTGATAGGCGAGATCGCCTCTTTTGCCAATGATCTTGAAAGGACCCACGTATCTAGGGGCCAGCTTCCCTTTGATACCGAAGCGACGAGTACCTTTCATTGAAGAGACGCGGAGGTAGACATGGTCTCCGATCTCGAAAACCAAGTCACGATGCTTGCTATCATAGTAACTCTTCTGGCGCAATTGCGCGGGTTTGAGATTTTCACGAATGACTTTCTATATTTCTTCAGCCTCTGTGATTAAGCCATTGCCAAGTGGCGTTCACCAGTTTCTGACAAATTAAGAGGAGTACTTAAACTGGACAGAGCAACCGGTCACCTGGAGCAGAGAGGATCATTCTCCCCGGATTGAGAATCCGAGTTGTTTAGCCCTGGTGGTGGCACCTCAAGTCGATGATTATAACCTCACTAAAGTGCGTGCTTATGGACGAAGAAAGCAACATTAACATCCTATACGATGATACCTTCAGACGTATGAACCTGTCAAAAAAGCAACTCCGGCCTTCCTTAACCATTTTTCACGGGATCATTCCTGAAAAGTCTGCTTATCCTATTAGGCGGATCAAGCTGAAAGTTGCGTTTTGCACTAAGTACAACTACAAATCAGAGTTCCTCGCGTTTGAGATGGTCAAAATTAAGAGTCCATATTATGCCCTCTTTGAACAGCCGGCTTGCGCTCGCTTCATGGCCCGGCCTTGTTATGTCTACCTCAAGCTCAAGATGTCTGGGCCAGAGGGCACTATCATCGCACGCGAGTGTGTGCGTGAGAAAGGGGACATAACTTATGCTGAGACGGCCTGCACAGCGGAGCCAATGTTGACCCGTCCGACATGAAACATTTTCAAACACTATTAAGCACGAGATAACAACGAGGCGTTCATTTTCCTTCCCAATTTCCATGTACACATATAGATAGTTGAAGCTCAACTAGAGACTGCATTTTCTCATCCCAGCTTACTGAAAAATTAGGTGCCTAATATGTAAACATGATTAAGATATGAAGGAATGGACTCAACTCTCGACTTGCCTATACACTATGACAAACTTTGGCTAACTAACCTTACAACAAGTTCAGTATTCTTGATATGCATGTAAAAACCTGGTAACGTAGTCTAGTACGAACACCGGATGATCCCTCTTGCAACAACCATGGCCCTTGAAATTACCCATCTGCAGGGTTATCCATGTCAACAGAAGAATCTGCTGTTTACTCCGGCTCTGTACAGCTGCAAGCACCCGGAGCCAGAAGCGTGAAGCTTCACCTCCGTGCATGCCGGCACAAACAAAACATCCCCTTCCTTTGCTACTCCTTCGTCAGGCATGCCATCAGCCTGGATCTCGCCCTCCCCAGTCATGACGAGGAAGATGGATGGGCCAGGCACTGGTAACATGGTAACCGATTCACCTTGAGGTAGTGAGTAGCAATCAACTTCAAACTCATCAAATGGGGGTGTGTAACGAATTACATATGGCTGCACCAGAACACCTTGCAAAATTTCGGGGAACATCTGCATGCACAAGATCAAATGTGTATTACTTAAGGGAATAGAGCATAGTGTTTTAGAGAATATTTAAGCAACATATGTAAAAGCCCCATTGGCCCGCCCATTGGATATTCCAGCCAAAGTTTCTCAATGTGATCAAACTCCAAATGTTTTCAAAAACCACTTTGAATTGCTAAATTATGTTACAAACAACCGATTTTAGCGCACTAGCATGTAACAAAATAACCAATTACAATTAAGGCCTTGTTTGATAGCAAAGTATTAAAAAAACGCAGTATCAGCAAACTACAGTAATTTACCTGTAGGCATAAAATACCGTGGTTTTAACATAACAAAGTATTTTAGAGTATTGACAATACAGAGCACCTGTTTGGCTTGGCTATGGCTTGCGCAGTGCTGTAAATTTAGATGGCTAGCTGTTAGCGCTGCAAACACTACCTAGCTAGTCGTTGCATTCAACTAATCGGCCATGCAGATGCAGCTAGCTAGCATATACCTTACCGTTAGCAGGACAAGCACGTGTGGCTGGCTTCTTTACAATTTAGGATCCGTTATTCTTGGCAGCTAGCTGGGTAAGCCCTTACCATATGCGTGCATAAGAACAGGAGCATGCAAAAACTGAATGTAGCCTATGGAGAATCTACAGAGACGGCCGCAGCGGCGGCAGCGAACGCGATGGTGTGAGAGCGAGACGAGCTTGTTGTGAATAGCTAGCAACTAGCTTGTTTCTTTCGCTTGCTCTGTTTCTAAAAAAGAGGCCCATGGTTCTTTTTTTTATGCAGAGAAATTACCACAGTTTTGAGAATACTCTAGTTTTAATAACCCGGTATTTAGTGCTAGCCAAACAGGTCACAGCAAATAAAACTATGGTATCTGAAAAACTGCAGTATTTTTAGAATACTCAGAAAATACTTTGCTATCAAACAGGGCCTAACCTGCAGCAAAACATAATCAGAAACACTATTGACTGCCGATAGATGATGCTAAGCTGTATGCTGACAAAAATGAACACAATATGGCAAATAAAGAAACTGCATGCCAAAAGAATTGAAATTATAAACAGGACACTAGAGGTACAGATGAAAGGAACACAAAAAAAAGAACCTGCTTGTATGTCAGCATGGAGCAAAGAGTTTGGACATCTTTGTACTTAGGAGTCAGACCAGCACGAATTACGTTGTCTGAGGTAGCCATACATTCAACACACTCTCCTGATAGATATGCATGTGGTTCGTTGGCACCAATGTAAAGTGCTTCACCAGGGCTGAGCTTAACATAGTTAAAGAAAAATGCTGATAAAACGCCAACATCTCCTGGGTACTGCTGCTCTAGTGATAAAACTAGTTGCTCCTTCTCTGTAAAGGTTCTAATCTGAATGGGAGAAAGACATTATCAGTGCAAATAGTTGAATTACAAATACTAGGTTCTCCAAAACATATGACTTTTTTCTTCAAACAAGCAATAGCTGCATATGTATATTCCTCATGGTGTGATGATCCTGACTCAAGTAACACAAGACAGCAAGATGAAAGTAGCAGAAAATAAATCAATGTGCTGTGAGGAAAAGAACAAAGACACCAATAACAAAGATATCTTATGCTTACAATAGCTTTCAGATTATATGGTGGCTCCATGTATACAAAGTAAAACTTCAAAAGATTTTCAATTAGAAAAACTCCTCCACAGGGAACGCAGCAGTGCAGAAGTTAACAGTCTACTTACATGTATCTTAGCGAGATTTTCAACTACCTAATTTGTACTGAATACTTGGGACATGCATTATGAAATGATGTTGGTTGCCCACTACGATATAACTGAATAATTAGCTTCAGCAAGCAGTGATATCGCTTTGGTGGCTACAACCAAACGATGATTACTACTCCCTCTGTTCCGAATTACTTGTCGCAGATATGGATGTATCTAGATGTATTTTAGTTCTAGATACATCCATTTCTGCGACAAGTAATTTGGAACGGAGGGAGTACCTAGTTAGCCTGATTGTCTCATCGTTAATATTCACAACCATCAATCTTCCAAATTAAATACCCAGCTTAATACTCACAGTATCTTTTTGAGTTGAAATGAATGCTGCTTCAGTGTCTACGTTTCCATAGGTAGGATCCTAGAGCAAACTCAATTATTCCCAGACAACCATCAACTACACTAGTGCATAGTTATAGCAATCCTACTCCCACCAGGTCAGCTCCATAAATATTGGTACTTATGCATTCCTTTCAGCGCATTGAGATGTTACTCTGAAGCAGCTATCGAAATTCATGTTTACTTATTTATAGCATAGCGCATACATAGTTTATACATGCACAGTCTTTAAGGACAAGTAACAATTCAAATTCAGTTCTATTCTTCTACCTTTTCCAGGTAGTCGACGGCTATTCACAGCTACCACCTTACACCAAAGAAGAGATCGACCCAATGTTTTATTTCTGTCTTAGTGAATCCCGATTCAACACTAAAAGTATATTGACTCTTTCCCAAGACTTTTTTCTGTAAATACTGCATATTTGATTCCATCCATAAATCTACTTTCCCTCCTATGCTCTGAGTTCCAGCATCGATAAGAATTTGAGTTCTTATTGTTCTTATGTTATGGTATGAATATACCATACCAATTTGTTATGTATGGATGATGGACGAGATTCCATGGATAGAGAGCCAGTTCCAATAGACTTATGGAACGTTCCGTTCATGTGCATCCAGCAGGAATTGAACCGATAAATTTACCAATTATGAGTTGAGCGCTTTAACCATTCAGCCATGGATGCTTAACAGGGATCATCGTACATCATAAATAACTAATTTTCATATATAAAGACATATCATAGAAAAAAGAAATCAATTACTCATATTTACTAGGAGTATATTTTTTATACTGTACAGTTGGCCTAAAAAAAATTTTAGACACTGGAACTGTAAGAACCTGGAAAGCAAAAAAAAACAATAAAAAATTAACCAAAAGCATTTAATAGCCAAGTGTAGGTCTCAAAAAATTACTGTTTCATCTACGACAAGATTGACCTACATGACTCTGGTAGGCAGCATTCAACTATGCTTTTCCTAGACATTTCCTATGACTTCCACTTCCACCATTGTTTAGAAAGAAAATAAAAACTGGAGGAGCTGTTTATGGTTGGTACACAAACATGGACAAAACAATTGCAGATACTAGAGCACTAGGAAACGAAAGATACTGACATCAACCTCCCAGTGAACACAATCATAGGTAATTCAAATGAACATGAAATTGTCTATGCCAATAACCCAGCAAAGATATTTACCTTTATCTCCCCATTCAAGCGACTCTTTAATTTGGAAATTGCTGCAGCAACTGCTTCTTTGCTTGTTGCCATTAGCTTAGTAAAAGCTGATTGCAGATATGACCTTACTCCAATACCTCCATCGTGCTCTTTGGCAGTCATAAGCTTCACAACATCTTCTTTGCCAACTAACATTTGAACCTCAGGTACAGTCCTCAAAACATCCTTGAGCTCCTGGACCACAGTATGAATAAATCAGTACTTGATTCTAAAATGATCGACTGTTAATTGCTTACAGTTCCAAAAGCTCATAGTTAATATCATAGCCCACATTTTCAACAATCGAGTGTTTGCACTATCTGGAACAATGCATCCTTTTTGGAAGAATATAACCAATGCAAGATAGAATTTGAAGTATCTAAAAAGAGGCAAATTGTACTTTCTACAAAACAGGATAGTTCTAACAAAATGAACATAGCAAAGGTTTCTCTGCTCCATACTTCCCACCCTAAATGTATCTATCTAATCATTAGTCAAGAAAAGAGGAGTGCCTCTTACAATACTTTAGCTACACTAACCATTTAACCAACAAGAATCTAAACTTCACCGTAAATATTTTACAAGAGTCCTAATAACCCTTATTTACCCATCTGGTATGCAATAAAAAAACTATTGCCACATAGCAAATTCAGTCGAACAAACATCAAGCAACGCCAATTGCACAGCGGCTTTGACTATTCATAAATTTCCTGCCACCTACCTAACAAGCGAACTTTTCCAACCGCATCGCTGGATGTGATTTGGACAGAATGTGTGCATGGGGCCAACAAGTAAGATGCCAATGCCGCCGAGGGATATACAGGACAACTTGCGGGACGCCATCACTGTCTTCTGAACAAGGACCACGGTACCTCATGGAAGGCAAGTGATTTGCCAGCATGTTCATACTCTGTTTTTAAACTCTTCTTCTGACAAAATTTCTAAAAAATAAACAAGGGTTGCTCACATAAATGCAGATGGTACTTCGGCGAATAATCAGACCTTGATCGTTGGGCTGTCAGTGAGCAATTACACTATTCTACAGTTACAAATCTCTATTATTATTATCAAACTCGTTAGTAGCCAGATCCACACCTCACTTGGTATTTTGACATTGGTCAGCTCATCCCACCAACCCATGAGGAATCATATTGGGAATCTGCTTGCCACGTCGAATAAACAATCCACCTACCGCATCGAACTTCCCTAAGTAACTAACTCAAGTACTCGACGCGTCAGCTGACCCTATTAGAACAATCCCAGGTCAACCAAACCATTAGAACAATCGCAGATCAGCGTAAATGGAAATGAATCGGCCATTCAACAAAGCAGCGATTCAACAGTACGTGCACGCAAGGAATGCAGGCGCACAAACCTGGACGCTGACGAAGCCGCAGAGGGCGCGGAACTCGGTGACGGCAACGGCCATCTCAGGCTTGTGGTTGGCGTCGCGGTACGTGGTAGGGCGCAGCGCGTGGAGCGCCCTGGCGAGCTCCCTGTCCGGATGCGCCTGGATGGAGAGCGGCTTCGCCACCGACAGCACCTTGAATAGGAAGGGGAGGTCGCCGTCCCAGCGCGCGGTGACGGCGCGGCCGAGGAGCGCAGCGGGGTTGCGCGCCAGCCACTCCCTGAGCGAGACCGCGCCGCCGTCGTCGGATGCTAGCGACGACGGGGCAGCCGGGTGGGTGCCCATCCAGAGCTCGGCGCAGGGGCGGCCCTCCTCTGTCTTGCCGGCGAGGCGCGCGACGAGGGAGGCGTCCCCGCGGCTGCCCCACTCGTAGTGCTGCACGGCGCCGCGCAGCCGCAGGACGCCCTTGGGGGGAGAGCACGGCTCCAGCTCCGGGTCGTGTTCGCGGTCGGCAGGGAGGAGGAGCCCCAGGCCACCCATCGCGCCTAACCCTAGCCCGAGGCCGAGCCCCAATTG